CAGGCATGGGATGGAACTCCCCATTGCAAAAGGCAGGTCACAGAAGGAAGAGAGGGGAGACGGGTCCCAAGCAAGTCACACATCTAGCAAGACAAAGCCCGGAGACCTGGAGGCCTGGGGACAATCCTCTTCGGCTCCATGCTCTGCCCAGAGGCTCGGCCTCTTTCCCAGCTCTCAGCGGCCCCACCCGCCGAAAACCAGGGGGAGACAGCCCTGCCCTGTGCCTGCGGTGGAAGAGGTACCCAATTACCTCTGAATCACCCCCAGGCACACTCTCCCCTTTCTGGAAAGATGAAGCATGCCAGGCGCTGGAGAGCGCTACCTCCTGTTCTCCTTAGGCCAAGCTGACAGTGCCTCTGTGGGCCTGGTCCCATCCCCACTCCCATCCCCACTCCTGGCCTCCGCTGAGGAGGCTTCCTGGTTGGGCTCCTGGCTCACACCCAGTCTCCCCATCAAATGGTTCCACCGCATGCAAGTCTGTCCAGACACTTTCTCTTTTTTTTTTTTTTTTTTTTTTTTTTTGAGACAGAGTCTCGCTCTGTCGCCCAGGCTGGAGTGCAGTGGCAAGATCTTGGCTCACTGCAACCTCTGCCCGCCGGATTCAAGCAATTCTCTGCCTCAACCTTCCAAGTAGCTGTGATTACAGGTGCCCGCCACCATGCCCGGCTAATTTTTATATTTTTAGTACAGACGGGGTTTCACCATCTTGGCCAGACTGGTCTTGAACTCCTGACCTTGTGATCCACCCGCCTCGGCCTCCCAAAGTGCTGGTATTACAGGCGTGAGCCACTGTGCCCGCCCCACTTTCTCATTTTTTGCAATGTGGATAGACTGATAATTTTCCAAATCTTCAAGCTCTGGTTCCTTTTCTTTTGGCAATTCCTTCAATGTATGTCTCTCCTCTGACGTCTCACTATAAGCAGTAAGGAGAAGCAAGGATTTCAACACTTTGCTTAGAAATCTCGCCAGCAAAACATCCCATTTCATCACTCGCAAGTTCCACTTCCCACAAAATGCTAGAACTCAGTCCAGCCAAGTACGTGCCACTTTATAACGAGAACCACTTTCCTCGCATTCCACAGGCACGTTCCTCACCAGAATCGGCTTTAATGCTCACGTTTCTACCAGTGTTCTGTTCGTGGGGTACGTGTGTTCTCTACGACCACAGCTCTCCCTACAATGCTCTCTCTGAGCCCTCACCAACAACGCCTTTAACACCCATAGTTCTACCAACCACTGCTTCACGGCCATCGGGGCTCTTTCTAGCACCCACCTCAAAACTCCGCCAGCCTCCACCCATCAGCCAGCTGCAAGTCACTTCCACATTCTTAAGTGTGTGGTATGTAACGCGGGGCACCCCACTTCTCTGCTTGGGCTGCTTATAATAAAACGCCACTGCCTGGGGGCCTAAACAACAGGAATTGGTTTTCCTACAGTTCTGGAGCTAAAAGCCTGTCATCAGGGTGCAGCTAGTTTGGCTCTGGTGAGGGCTGTTTCCGGCCTGCAGACAGCCGCCTTCCCCGTGTGCTCTCACAGCCCTTCTCTGGGGGCTGTTCAGCACAGAGGCGGACAGAGGGTTCTTCTGTGTCTCCTTTTTAAGGACACCGGTCCTATCAGTTCAGGGCCGCCCCCACTTATGACGTTGTTTAACCTTAATTTCTTCCTAAGAGGCCCCACCTACAAATACAGCCACACCGGGATTAGGGTTTCACTCTAGGAATAGGTGAAGGAATGAGACAAACATCCAGTCCGTTAAACGATCTTCAAGGAAAAGGTAAATCTTCAGCGAAAGCTGAAAATCAGCACGATTTGGCTGAATAACGTGTAACTTCAGGCCTAGGTTTACACACTCACTCATAATCTCAAGGACCATAGAACTTTTGACCTACTAGCAAGCGTGGGATTCCAGAGTTCAGGATCCCAGGACACCTCATGGCGCTGTGGGGCCTCTGTTCTGGCCCACCCAGGGTGGGGTGAAGCGGATGTGCCCGTTCAGCCCGGGGGGAGCTTCAGAGCCAGGACTGACCCCAGGAGGGGCTCCAGGATGGACACAGGTGTGTGTTCAGGCCCCACAGTGGAGCACAGCAGATGCAAAGGAACAAGAGGACTCTGATGCCGCTGCGGGTGATGAGTGGAGGGAGCAGGGAGCGGTGTCATCCTGAAAGGAAAATCCCCAGGCTGTCAGAGTGAGGCTGTGCCACTTTCTCTCCTCGCTGCTTTGTTTTTGGGACTGTTCTACTCCCCGCTTCCCTACACAGCAACAAGAACACACACGTCTGTGCCCTGTCAGCGTTCCAGCCCCCACGCGTGGAGGTGGACACAGCCCCATGCCAGGCCTGGATGGACTCCGTGCCTGAGGGCCTCCACTCCTGGGCACTCTTCCTCAGTCGCTGACTGCAGGGGTCCTGGGAAATGCAGGGACCCCAGGGAGCTCTGGGAGGGTGGCCTGACCCACAGCTGGGCTTCAGCAACAGAGCCGGGGCTGCTGCACCCTTCCTGGTCAGTGTTAGGGTCCCACGTCCCAGGCTGTGACCACGGCTCAGCCTAGAAGGGGCCCAACTCCCCTCCCTGCCCCACAACAGGAGGGCAGAGAGCTCTGTCAAGGCGGCAGCCACTGTCTCCTCCGCACCACCTCCTTCCCTCTTATTTTGTGCCTGACTTCCCCTGGTGTGAATAGTAAAATCCCCCAGAGTGGAAAATCCCAACCTTAACAGTCACCCAGGAGAAGGGTAGAAGCTAAGAGTTTTATAACTTAAAGTGCCAATCCCCAAACAAAAATAAACCCACTGCATTCTAAAAAGCCACGAAGGTCAACATTAAACATCATAAGCAAATGCTCAGGCCATCATCACCCTTTGAGGTGAAAGCTCCTGGTTCATGTCCTTCCCAAAGGCAACTTTTTATGGCAGCCGTAATCTCTAAGTCAAGAGGCATCGTTTAAGATCCAACTTTTATAGCTTGACTTGTTTCTAATTATACAGTGGAAATGACTTCAGACAAGTTCTTAGAATTTCCTCTAAAATGTACAGCCTGAAGGGGATCACAAAAATCCCAATCCTTGGTGGAAAAGTCAGGAAGTTTATTTCCCTGTGAAAGCTGCAGCACTCTTGTAAGCCGGTGGCTCTCTGAGAGTCACTGCAGCTGTGGCAGAGGTGGGCATCTCCCGGCAGGGCAACAGGAAGCATGCAGGGTGCCCCTGCACAGGATGGCCATCAGTGCCATCGCCCGACTCGGGGCGCAGGATGGGAAGCTCACTCACTGGCAGGTTAAGAAGAACCAGGTGTCCAAACTTGCTGGAAACATCAGAATCAAAGACTTTCTGAGGCCATCAAGCCCTGGCCCGGCTGGGCACCGCGGGACCTGTGCGGAGAGGAAGTAACCTGGCCTCTTCTCCAACCTCCCAGCGAGAGGGTGAGGCTGTGCGGTGTCAGCGGCAGGAAGCCGATGCCCCACGTCTTCAGCGCGGGACACAGCCTCCCCACCGGCTGCCCCAGCCCTTCCCGCGCTGTCCAGACACGGGGACTGCCCCCTGCCATTGGCGCCGCTGAGCCACACTGCCCCATTCATGAAAGGCGTGCCCCACAAGGCAAACCTGGGAGCCTGCCCTCGATTCCACGCTGGCGCCCATGCCCGGGTGCGTACAGGGTGGTGCCCGCTCCACCACACCAGAACACACCAACCGCACCACATCTTAACCCTCCTGGAAAAGCTGCCATCCTGCACATGCGGCAAACCCGGGTCTCTCAGGTAAACTGAGTCCAACACCACCCAGCAGCCCCGAGCACCGGGAGGCCCAGGTTGGGAACGGAGATAAATATAAAATTAATAGTTTTCGACACAAAATTAGAAAACCTGGAATGTAAAACTAAAACTTGCTGTGACCTCACCACTCAGATAAGCTCTGTTAACGTTTTGTGGGATTTGATTTCCATGGGGGCTGCGGCCAGCCAGGACCCAGGAAGACCCTCAGTGTGGGGCCAGCACCAGCAGGATGCGGGGTGATGCTGAGTGTCACTGTGGCTTTCCTTTCCGCATCCCATGGGCCGCGTCCTTCCCTGGGGGTGTCTGAGGATGCGTAGAGGCCTGCAGGGGCCCAGGCACTGACAGCCTCTCGCACGCCAAGACAGATGCCCCCACCTAGAGGAGGCCCCCACCCTGACTCAAACTCAGGAGTGCAGGTGCCCGGCACAACTGCCACACGCTGCTGGTCACAGGGTTTTTAATTCTAAAAGTGCTGCAATCAAACCACGTGCAGGCACGTCACCCAACACAGAAGATGGAAGCAGCTTCTCTCCCACCCTCCCGCAACGCCAAAGGCCCCACAGTCTACACCTGCGAGTTCTCTGGGGAGATCCCAGCTCCCAGGGCAGCAACAACCGGAAATCTAAGGAAATGCCACACTTCCAAGGACAGACGAGGCACAGGCCTGGGGAGGCCTCACCCGAGATGCAGGAGCCCTGGAAGCCCCTCCCCATGAGAGGGCAGCCCCAGCAGCTGTGTCTGGGCAGGGCCTGGCATGGGCGGGGGAGGTGCCCGGCACCCCAGGGCAGCCTCCAGGTCCCATCTAGTCAGCTGCCTCAGCCTCCTGACCATGCCCAGCCCTGCTCATTCACGAAGCCGACCCCCCATTCCCTGGAGCTGGGGTCTGTGGGGAAGCACCAGTGAGGCCCAGCATGGGGAGGAACAGCCCCAGCCCCTCCCACAGGAGCTGCGCAGCTTCAGCAAACCGAGGACCCAAGGAGCAAACTGGCCCATCCCAGCAAACTGCGGCACCCTGAGAGTGTCGAGGACAGCTAGGGCCAGACCTGGCACCAGGGAAAATCCACAGCCCAGCCAGGGACCAAGTCTCCAGGTAAGTCCGGGGGTAGCGTGGGGGAAGAAGGGCGTGCACATGGTGCAACCCAGCAGACACATTTCACCTGGCCACACGGGCCCCAGGTGGACTCAGGGGAGACACAGCCCGACTCAAGTGAACGGGTGGGCGCAGGTGAGAGCCCTACCTTGGAAGAAGCTCTTCACCCGGAGGTAACTGACACTGAGACGCAGGACAGAAAGCTTGTCCAGCTTGGAGATGATGTCAGGTGGGAACGGCAGCAGGCTGGCCAGGTGGTCCAACTCGGCGTTGAGGCGGTCCCGGTGCCGCTTGGAGGGGTTGGACTTCTCTGCCCCCACGGCGGGCCTCCTGTGGGGAGATGGTCTGGGTCAGGTGGGCTTCTCCACCAGAAGCCACAGGCCCCTTGGGGCAGAAACCATCCTCTGCAGTAACCTTACTAGGAGCATCTAAGCTGCTGCCAGGACAAAAGGGGGGAAGAGGACTAAAGCTCACCCATGCCTGGAGACGTAGAAACTAAACACGGCGCACGGCAGCCAAGCACAGCTCGGTGTCTGGCGGGGACGCGGAGAGAAGGAGCAAACCAGCCCGAGAACCGCCGCTCAGAGCACAGAGACACGCGGGCACGTTTCTCCACCTCTCCACTACGGATCCCTAAGGAGGGAGGAGGACGCTTGGCCCCAGGCTGGCTCGGTGTCTAAACAAAACCTAACACATTCCAGAAAACATGAAAAGGTCCTCCTGGCATCAGCCGGGGCGTGCAGCTGCCAGGCCTGCACTTCGAGGCGCCCAAGGCCACTCCAAGCTTCGGTTTCTCTTGTACATGTTGGGGCTGAGGGCAGAATATTCAGGGACCCCCCAGGGCAAATGAGACCGGGTGCCTGCCCCTCTGGGGCCCCACAAAGGGGCAGTGAGGGCCATTACCCAATTCTCCTAATAAGCCATGGCAGCCTGCTCTACCCACAAAAAGGGACCACCCTGTGGGACTTGCACACCACGGAGCCCAGAGAGGGAGGGAGCTGACCCCACTCACCCAACCTACCTTAAAATGACAGGAGCTTGATGTGACCCTCTCACCTCAGAGGGACCGTCCTCTACAGCTGACCCATTTAGCCTCAGAGTGACCGTCCTCTACAGCTGACCCATTTAACCTCAGAGTGACCGTCCCCTACGGCTGACCCATTTAACCTCACAGTGACCGTCCCCTACGGCTGACCCATTTAACCTCACAGTGACCGTCCCCTACGGCTG